TGAGAAATTGAAGTGGAATGGCATCACATTCATCATCAAAAAGAGCATTTCAAGAACTATCTTAAGTACATCAATGTTTGTAATAGGAAAATATCCATATGCGTACAAGGATGACCAGAGTCCTGGTGTGGTGTCGCAGGTTAGTGCTCTGGACAACAAGGTCATTTGAACTGCAAAATCAGCAGTTCAAGCTAACCAGCTGTTCCTCAGACAATCTATACAGGGTTGCTATGGGTCGGAACTGACTCAATGGTACTTAACAACAACAAAACAAGAAGCACCAATTATTACTACTATTATTCAAGTTTACACATCAAGCACTAAAGCCAATGATGATGAAATTGATGAATTCTATGAACTTTGTCTATCTGAAATTGATCACACATGCAATCAAGATGCTTTAATCATTACTGGTGACTGGAATGCAAAAGGTTAAAACAAAGAGAAAGGATCTAGTTGGAAAATACTGTTTTGATGATATAAATGATAACTAAAGTACACCTGACCCAAGCCATGGTATTTTCAATAACCTCATATGCATGCAAAAGCTAGACAGTGAATAAGGAAGACTATAGAAGAATTGAAGCTTTTGATTTATGGTGTTGGAGGAAAATATTGTACCGACTCGATGGCACCTAACAACAACAATAACAGAGATCACATGATAGAATTTTGCAAGATCAATGACTTAAGTCTTTGAAATACAATTTTTAAACAAAATAGATAGTAAGTATGCACATGGACCTCATCAGATGTAATGCAAAGGGATCAAATTGACTATATCTCTGAAAAGACATGGTGGAGAAGCTCAGAATCTTTAGTCAAAATAAGGCCACAAACAGAATTTACTCATATGCAAATTCGGAATGAATAGGAAGAAAATTAAAACAAGTCCACAAGAGTTAAAACATGTCCTTGAGTATTGCTGTTGCTGTTAAATGCTCTCGAGTCGGTTCCAACTCATGGTGAGTCTGTATAGGTTTTCTGAGGAACAGTGAGTGGGTTTGCACTGCCAACCCTGTAGTTCAGGTCAACCTTACAGTCCAGTGATTTATTCTACAGTGCCACACTATTATATCCAGATCAGTATATCCCACCTTCTGAGACCATCTCAAAAACAAATTTGATTAAGTGGAAACTAATGACAAAGACTGGAATTGTGGTATGACATCAAGAACATTATACACGAAGAAAGCAAAGGTCATTAAAAAGACAGGAAAGAAAGAAAAGATAAAATGGATTTCAAAAGAGACTCTGAAACTTCCTATTGAATATACAGAAGTTAAAGCAACTGGAAGAAATGAGGAACTAAAAGAGATGAACAAAAATTTCAAAGGGCAACTCGGCGAGACAATGGTATTATAATGAAATGTGCAAAGACCAGATCTTAGAAAACTAAAAGAGAAGGATACACTCAGAATTTCTCAAGATAAAAATCAACTCTTGTATTGCAATACTAATAAGATTATTTGGGCAAAACATCCATGATGTAGGAAGCATTAAAAGAAGGAAGGAATACAGAGTCACTGTACCAAAAAGAACTGGCCATTTTTCAATCATTTCAAGAAACACTATAAAATGAATGCTAGTGAAGGAAGAAGTCCAACCTGCACTGATGGCACTGGCGAAAACAAGGCTCCAGGAATTGACAGACTAGAAATTGAAATGTTTCAACATACTGGTACAGCACTGGAGGCACTCAGTCAACAAATTTGTCAACAAATTTGAAACAAACTACCTGACCAACCAACTAGAAAAGATCCATATTTGTGCCCATTCCAAAGAAACATTACCCAATGGAATGTGAAAATCATAGAACAAATATAATTAATATCACATACAAGTAAAATTTTGCTTGAGATAATTCAAAAACAGTTATGACAGTACATCAACAGGGAGTTGCCCAGAATTCAAGTCAGATTCAGGAGAGGACATTTAACTAGGGATATCATTGCTGACTTCAGATCTTGGTTGAAAGCAGAGAACAGCAAAAAGATGTTTACTTGAGCTTTATTGACTATGCAAAGGCATTTGATTATGTGGATCACAAGAAACTATATATAACAGTGCAGAATAGGAATTCAAGAATTTTTAACTGTGCCATTGTGGAACCTGTACATAGACCAAGAGGTCATAGTTAGAATAAAACAA